GCCAGTTGTACCTCTCGTGTTCACCAGGAAGTTCTGTTCTGACCCTTAGGCTTCAGTCCATCCCATTTTAAACCGCAGCATTCGGCGGCAGCCTCGAGTATGCCGTTCTTGGAAAGCTCATACTCGGTTTTCACAGTAATGGTCATCACCGGGATGTGTTCAAACTGTAGTATGTTTTTTGTAAATTTTGTCCCTGTATTTGCAGATTATATTTTCCATTTGATTCTTTGATTGCTTCCGCTGCAGTACTTCAGTAGTATTTCATTTCTCGCCGAGCATGCCAACGAGAAGGTGGTGAGCAGTTGAAACTTCGCTACTCTTAACGCGAACATCCATTAGAGATCAACCAATGATACGTTTATCAAATCTATCACCGACTTTTGTGCTCAAGCTTCCCGGTTCCATGTATACTGTTGCACTCTTCGATGTTCGAAGGTGTTCATAATGTTGTTTGCACAAAACTGCAACAGTTGCATGCCGTTACTGTTGAGGTAGCTAGGGTCGTTCTTTCAAATCACTCCTATCCACTTTTCAGCGTCTACTCTTACATGCGCATTAAAATCGCCTCTGAGTAGGAGGGACTCCGTATTCGCAGCGTACAGAGCGTGCTGTGCTTCCTCAATGATGAAATCATATTCTCCTTTTAAGTTGGGCGCTTACACCTGTAACTAGGTCATCGCCTCAGCTTCTTGTAGCTTTGGTCGGAGGATTGCCATCCTTCCGCTGAGGGGCTTCCAGTCATTGATTCTGTGTGCGACGTTGAGTTCTACCAGAACACCGGCCGGGCCGCGCGTGAAATCGACGCCTGAGTAGAACAGCTTCCGTCCATTGAGGTTCAGCAGTCCAGAGCCTAGGCGTTTCGTTGACGAGAATCCAACAATGTCGAGTTGGTACTTTATGGCTTCATCAACTAATTGTTCTTCTTTTCCTCCGAGTGAGGATATGTTCCGATTTCCGACTTTAAGCTCCCACTGGTGGTGTCGTTCTCGTGGACCCTTTTCTGACGTGCTGTAATGGCATCCCGCTGTCTGTCTCCTCCGTTCAGAACGAATAACGACTCCGTTGCTGACTGGTATCTTCGTCGTCGTTCTATCGGTTTTCGTCAGCCGTTGTTGTGCTGCTACGCCTTCGGCTGCCAAAAGGCGATCAGCAGGTTTTGATCGCCGAGTTTTGGTACTCTGTACGGCCTATGGTAACCCGGGCGACGACCGACCCGGTATAATTTTCGATGATCTCATGACTTTCCATGAAGGTAGGTGACTAAGTTTTACGGATACTTTGCCATAGTCTCCGACTCTCCTATCTCAACCGTGCTTGCTTGGCTCTTATCTCAACCGCCTTTAACTTAATTTAGCACTTTAATTTGTGCCGTATTCTGCCTACTTGCCTTGTTAAGAATATGACTGAACTTTGTAAGTTATTCATTGACGTAGAATTTTTGCAAAACTGAATTTGGTACGATTTTTGCCATCATACTTCTGTAGTGGTAGACCGGGTTATGATTAGTTATTAAATTTATATGGCTTCGTTCATTCGCATGTAAATTGTAGTATTTAAGCAGGCATAAAGAAACGTCTTTTATAAGTAGAGTTCATAACTCCTTCCTAGTCTTTAGTCATTCATGAATCCTTTCGCTTCTATAATTTGCCACGAGACAGAGTCGCTTTCGGATCTTATTCGCAAGTGCTGTCAGGTTCTCGAACATTATTCACCAAAAAATTGCAGTATACTTTCTGTAAAGCGTACTCACCGAATTTGGTTATAGAAATCTTGTTGCCATGTCGACCGAGTCCTCGTTTAGAAAACTTCTCGAAATGCTCTTCTACGATAGATTGAATTATCCATAAATAACCTACGTTTGGTAATAATAGTTGTTTTATAGAGAAACTTTTCATGGGTTTTTGTACTGGTTTTGTTACAGTTTACGAAGATATTACATGTATATGAATGTTTTACTATCATTGTTTGAATAGTTTTAATAAGAAATCAGGGAATGGGGGTTTGATGGATCCAGAAGGTGATTCGCAACATTCTTTTATCTCAAATCCAGTGACAGGCCATTTCTTAGTAGTCAAACTTAACTCAAACTTGATTCACTCCCTTTTTTGACGAGAGCTTTAATTAGCAGTTGTGAATTGGAGGGGGAAACAGTCAAATTGAATTTGAGCTTAAGTAAGAGTATGAATAAATAGCTGAATTTTTTAGCAAAGATTTTAATGTACTTAATATAATGACTTCAGGAGGTAAGCAATACATAAATTTATCTAAAAGTACATAAGACGTGGGCTCTCCTGTTTTTCCTCTTGTTATTTACTCCTGTTGATGTTGAGGATTTGATATATTCCTCTTTTTCTACCTTGTTTCTTTCCTGATCAAATCCCACTGGATTTTCTAATTTTTCAGAAAATTGTATTCTTCTACGGCTGACATTTTCCTACGTTCTGCTGACACCTTTTGTTTTCGTATCTATTTCTTGAGCTTTCGTATCCATTTCTTGAGCATAGCGTTTCCCCAGTAAAATACTACACAAGAAGCAGGTCGTTAGTGGTGAGATTCGGAAAGGCATCCTTAGGTAAGGTAAGGTAGAGCGGAGAC